AGCAGAGCAGAGCAGAGAGCAGAGCAGAGAGCAGAGCAGAGCAGAGAGCAGAGAGCAGAGCAGAGAGCAGAGCAGAGCAGAGCAGAGCAGAGCAGAGCAGAGCAGAGCAGAGAGCAGAGCAGAGCAGAGCAGAGCAGAGCAGAGCAGAGCAGAGAGCAGAGCAGAGCAGAGCAGAGAGCAGAGCAGAGCAGAGAGCAGAGCAGAGAGCAGAGCAGAGCAGAGAGCAGAGCAGAGCAGAGAGCAGAGCAGAGCAGAGCAGAGAGCAGAGCAGAGCAGAGAGCAGAGCAGAGCAGAGCAGAGAGCAGAGCAGAGCAGAGAGCAGAGCAGAGCAGAGCAGAGCAGAGAGCAGAGCAGAGCAGAGAGCAGAGCAGAGAGCAGAGAGCAGAGCAGAGAGCAGAGCAGAGCAGAGCAGAGCAGAGCAGAGCAGAGCAGAGCAGAGCAGAGAGCAGATAAGAGCAGAGCAGAGCAGAGCAGAGCAGAGCAGAGAGCAGAGCAGAGCAGAGCAGAGCAGAGAGCAGAGCAGAGCAGAGAGCAGAGCAGAGCAGAGCAGAGCAGAGCAGAGCAGAGCAGAGAGCAGAGCAGAGCAGAGCAGAGCAGAGAGCAGAGCAGAGAGCAGAGAGCAGAGCAGAGAGCAGAGCAGAGAGCACAGCAGAGCAGAGAGCAGAGAGCAGAGCAGAACAGAGCAGAGCAGAGAGCAGAGCAGAGCAGAGCAGAGCAGAGCAGAGCAGAGAGCAGAGCAGAGAGCAGAGCAGAGAGCAGAGCAGAGCAGAGCAGAGCAGAGCAGAGAGCAGAGCAGAGAGCAGAGCAGAGAGCAGAGCAGAGCAGAGCAGAGCAGAGCAGAGAGCAGAGCAGAGCAGAGAGCAGAGCAGAGAGCAGAGCAGAGCAGAGCAGAGAGCAGAGCAGAGCAGAGCAGAGCAGAGAGCAGAGCAGAGCAGAGCAGAGCAGAGAGCAGAGCAGAGAGCAGAGAGCAGAGCAGAGAGCAGAGCAGAGAGCACAGCAGAGCAGAGAGCAGAGAGCAGAGCAGAGCAGAGCAGAGCAGAGAGCAGAGCAGAGCAGAGCAGAGCAGAGCAGAGCAGAGCAGAGAGCAGAGCAGAGAGCAGAGCAGAGAGCAGAGCAGAGCAGAGCAGAGCAGAGCAGAGCAGAGAGCAGAGCAGAGCAGAGCAGAGCAGAGCAGAGCAGAGCAGAGCAGAGCAGAGCAGAGAGCAGAGCAGAGCAGAGCAGAGCAGAGAGCAGAGCAGAGAGCAGAGAGCAGAGCAGAGAGCAGAGCAGAGAGCACAGCAGAGCAGAGAGCAGAGAGCAGAGCAGAGCAGAGCAGAGCAGAGAGCAGAGCAGAGCAGAGCAGAGCAGAGCAGAGCAGAGCAGAGCAGAGCAGAGAGCAGAGCAGAGCAGAGCAGAGCAGAGCAGAGCAGAGAGCAGAGCAGAGCAGAGCAGAGCAGAGCAGAGCAGAGAGCAGAGCAGAGCAGAGCAGAGCAGAGCAGAGAGCAGAGCAGAGCAGAGAGCAGAGCAGAGAGCAGAGCAGAGCAGAGCAGAGAGCAGAGCAGAGCAGAGCAGAGCAGAGCAGAGCAGAGAGCAGAGCAGAGAGCAGAGCAGAGAGCAGAGCAGAGAGCAGAGCAGAGCAGAGCAGAGAGCAGAGCAGAGAGCAGAGCAGAGCAGAGCAGAGCAGAGAGCAGAGCAGAGCAGAGAGCAGAGCAGAGCAGAGCAGAGCAGAGAGCAGAGCAGAGCAGAGCAGAGCAGAGCAGAGCAGAGCAGAGCAGAGAGCAGAGCAGAGCAGAGAGCAGAGCAGAGAGCAGAGCAGAGCAGAGCAGAGAGCAGAGCAGAGCAGAGAGCAGAGCAGAGCAGAGCAGAGCAGAGAGCAGAGCAGAGCAGAGCAGAGCAGAGAGCAGAGCAGAGCAGAGCAGAGCAGAGCAGAGAGCAGAGCAGAGAGCAGAGCAGAGCAGAGAGCAGAGCAGAGAGCAGAGCAGAGCAGAGCAGAGAGCAGAGCAGAGCAGAGCAGAGCAGAGCAGAGAGCAGAGCAGAGAGCAGAGCAGAGCAGAGCAGAGAGCAGAGCAGAGAGCAGAGCAGAGCAGAGCAGAGCAGAGAGCAGAGCAGAGCAGAGCAGAGCAGAGCAGAGCAGAGAGCAGAGCAGAGCAGAGCAGAGCAGAGAGCAGAGCAGAGCAGAGCAGAGCAGAGCAGAGCAGAGCAGAGAGCAGAGCAGAGCAGAGCAGAGCAGAGAGCAGAGCAGAGCAGAGCAGAGCAGAGCAGAGAGCAGAGAGCAGAGCAGAGAGCAGAGCAGAGCAGAGCAGAGAGCAGAGCAGAGCAGAGCAGAGCAGAGCAGAGCAGAGAGCAGAGCAGAGCAGAGAGCAGAGCAGAGCAGAGAGCAGAGCAGAGCAGAGCAGAGAGCAGAGCAGAGCAGAGAGCAGAGCAGAGAGCAGAGAGCAGAGCAGAGCAGAGCAGAGCAGAGCAGAGCAGAGAGCAGAGCAGAGCAGAGAGCAGAGAGCAGAGCAGAGCAGAGCAGAGAGCAGAGCAGAGCAGAGCAGAGCAGAGAGCAGAGCAGAGCAGAGCAGAGCAGAGAGCAGAGCAGAGCAGAGAGCAGAGAGCAGAGCAGAGCAGAGCAGAGCAGAGCAGAGCAGAGAGCAGAGCAGAGCAGAGAGCAGAGAGCAGAGCAGGAGCAGAGCAGAGCAGAGCAGAGAGCAGAGCAGAGCAGAGCAGAGCAGAGCAGAGCAGAGCAGAGCAGAGAGCAGAGCAGAGCAGAGCAGAGAGCAGAGCAGAGCAGAGCAGAGCAGAGAGCAGAGCAGAGCAGAGCAGAGCAGAGCAGAGCAGAGCAGAGAGCAGAGCAGAGCAGAGCAGAGCAGAGCAGAGAGCAGAGCAGAGCAGAGCAGAGAGCAGAGCAGAGCAGAGCAGAGCAGAGCAGAGCAGAGCAGAGCAGAGAGCAGAGCAGAGCAGAGCAGAGCAGAGAGCAGAGCAGAGCAGAGAGCAGAGCAGAGCAGAGCAGAGCAGAGCAGAGAGCAGAGCAGAGCAGAGAGCAGAGAGCAGAGCAGAGCAGAGAGCAGAGCAGAGCAGAGCAGAGAGCAGAGCAGAGCAGAGCAGAGCAGAGCAGAGCAGAGCAGAGAGCAGAGCAGAGCAGAGCAGAGCAGAGCAGAGAGCAGAGCAGAGCAGAGCAGAGCAGAGAGCAGAGCAGAGCAGAGCAGAGCAGAGCAGAGAGCAGAGCAGAGCAGAGCAGAGAGCAGAGCAGAGCAGAGCAGAGCAGAGCAGAGCAGAGAGCAGAGCAGAGCAGAGCAGAGCAGAGCAGAGAGCAGAGCAGAGCAGAGCAGAGCAGAGAGCAGAGCAGAGCAGAGCAGAGCAGAGAGCAGAGCAGAGCAGAGCAGAGCAGAGCAGAGAGCAGAGCAGAGCAGAGCAGAGAGCAGAGCAGAGCAGAGCAGAGCAGAGAGCAGAGCAGAGCAGAGCAGAGAGCAGAGCAGAGCAGAGCAGAGCAGAGCAGAGAGCAGAGCAGAGCAGAGCAGAGCAGAGCAGAGAGCAGAGCAGAGCAGAGCAGAGCAGAGCAGAGAGCAGAGCAGAGCAGAGCAGAGCAGAGAGCAGAGAGCAGAGAGCAGAGCAGAGCAGAGAGCAGAGCAGAGCAGAGCAGAGCAGAGCAGAGAGCAGAGCAGAGCAGAGCAGAGCAGAGCAGAGAGCAGAGCAGAGAGCAGAGCAGAGCAGAGCAGAGAGCAGAGCAGAGAGCAGAGCAGAGCAGAGAGCAGAGCAGAGCAGAGAGCAGAGCAGAGCAGAGCAGAGCAGAGCAGAGAGGAGAGCAGAGCAGAGCAGAGAGCAGAGCAGAGAGCAGAGCAGAGCAGAGCAGAGAGCAGAGCAGAGCAGAGAGCAGAGCAGAGCAGAGCAGAGCAGAGCAGAGAGCAGAGCAGAGCAGAGCAGAGCAGAGAGCAGAGCAGAGCAGAGCAGAGAGCAGAGCAGAGCAGAGCAGAGAGCAGAGCAGAGCAGAGCAGAGAGCAGAGCAGAGCAGAGCAGAGCAGAGCAGAGCAGAGCAGAGAGCAGAGCAGAGCAGAGCAGAGCAGAGCAGAGCAGAGAGCAAGAGCAGAGCAGCAGAGCAGAGCAGAGCAGAGCAGAGAGCAGAGCAGAGCAGAGCAGAGCAGAGAGCAGAGCAGAGCAGAGCAGAGAGCAGAGCAGAGCAGAGCAGAGAGCAGAGCAGAGCAGAGCAGAGCAGAGAGCAGAGCAGAGCAGAGCAGAGCAGAGCAGAGCAGAGCAGAGAGCAGAGCAGAGCAGAGCAGAGCAGAGCAGAGCAGAGCAGAGAGCAGAGCAGAGAGCAGAGCAGAGCAGAGCAGAGAGCAGAGCAGAGCAGAGAGCAGAGCAGAGAGCAGAGCAGAGCAGAGCAGAGCAGAGAGCAGAGCAGAGCAGAGCAGAGCAGAGCAGAGAGCAGAGCAGAGCAGAGCAGAGCAGAGCAGAGCAGAGAGCAGAGCAGAGCAGAGCAGAGCAGAGCAGAGCAGAGCAGAGCAGAGAGCAGAGCAGAGCAGAGCAGAGCAGAGAGCAGAGCAGAGCAGAGCGCACGGGCGGGCGAGGAGCTGGCGGGCAGTGGAGGGCTGAGCCCACCTAGGGAGGCCTGGAGCAAAGGGTCTCCCCCTCCTCTCTGTGGTTCTCTCTTCCTCCCCCTCTCTCCTCTCTCCTCTCCTCTCTCCTCTCTCCTCTCTCTCCTCTCTTCCTCTCTCTCCTCCTCTCTTCCTCTCTTCTCTTCCTCTCTCTTCTCTTCCTCTCTCCTCTCTTCCTCTCTCCCTCTCTCCCGTCTCCTCTTCCCCCCCCTCTGCACCGCACACCCCTTTGCCCGCTGCTCCCGCGCGCGCGCCGCCTTTTTGTCCGGAGCGCGGGGTGCGGAGGGGCGGCCGCGGGCCCCGGGTCGGAGCTGCGCTCGGGCGCCGCGCAGAGGGCGCGGGGCGGGGCGGCGCGGGGCGGGGCGGCGCGGGGAGGCCCGCACGGCCGGCGCCCCGGGAACAGGTGCACGGGCGGGCGGAGGGGCGGACGCGCGGGCGGCGCCCACCTACCTGGACCTGGAGGCACAGCAGCAGGACGTGCAGACACCTGCGGAGAGAGGGCAGGCGTCAGGCCGGGGCCGGGGCCGGGGCCGGGGCCGGGGCCGGGGCCGGGCGGGCGGGCGGGCGCTTACAGGCCGGAGCCGGCGGAGGGCGCGGGACGCATGGCGGGGCGCGGGCGGGCGCGGGCGCGGCGGCTGCTAGCCGAGCCTGCACATGTCCTCTCCGCGCGGCCGGGGCCGGGCGCCGCCGCCGCCGCCGCCGCCGCCGCCGGGCCGGCTGCTGCTGCTGCTCCGGGGCGGCCCGCGGCGCGCCCTGCAGCATGGGCGCCCTCGGGGCCGGCGCGGGGGCTGCGGGCGCCCGGCCGGGGCCGGGGCCGGGGCCGGGGCGGGGGCGCGCGCGCGCCGTCCGGGCGTCTGCGGGAGGCCGGCCGTCGGCTCAGTCCGGGGGCGGCGCGCGCTCCGGGGCCGGGGCCGGGGCCGCCCGGCGGGGTCCGCGCTCCGGGGCCCGGGCGCACGGCGGGGTCAGCGCTCCGGGGCCGGGGCCGGGGCCGGGGCGCGCGGGGGCAGCGCGGACGCGTCACGGCCGCTCCGTCCGGGCGCCCTGCGGCTCATGTCTCCTCCTCCGAGTCTCCCCGGCCGTGCGCATCGCCGCCTCCTCCGCCGGCGGCGGCCGGGGCGTTTTCTACGCGCGGGCGGCGGGGGGCGGGGGCCGGGGGCGGGCCCGGGCCGGGCGCACAATGGGGATGCGGCCGGGCCCCCCCTCGGGGCGCGGCCGGCCGGGCGCTGGGCTCCGCGCTCGCCCCGGTGCGCCGCGCCCACATCAAAGGCGGCTGCGGGGCTCCGGGCCGGGCGGCCGCTCCGAGGGCCAGAGCTGCGGGGCCGCCCGCGCTGGGAGCCGTCGGAGTCGGAACCGCGCCGCGCCGCGCCGCAGGGCAGACGGTGGGGCGCTGGGGCCGGGCAGGGCGCGGGGCCGGGGCGCGGGGACCGGGCAGGGCGCGGGGCCGGGAGGGGCGCGGGGCCGGGGCGCGGGGGCCGGGCAGGGCGCGGGGCCGGGGCGCGGGGACCGGGCAGGGCGCGGGGCCGGGCAGGGCGCGGGGGCCGGGCAGGGCGCGGGGCCGGGGCGCGGGGACCGGGCAGGGCGCGGGGCCGGGCGGGGCGCGGGGCCGGGGCGCGGGGGCCGGGCGGGGCGCGGGGCCGGGGCGCGGGGACCGGGCAGGGCGCGGGGCCGGGCGGGGCGCGGGGCCGGGCGGGGCGCGGGGCCGGGGCGCGGGGGCCGGGCAGGGCGCGGGGCCGGGGCGCGGGGACCGGGCAGGGCGCGGGGCCGGGCGGGGCGCGGGGCCGGGGCGCGGGGGCCGGGCAGGGCGCGGGGCCGGGCGGGGCGCGGGGCCGGGGCGCGGGGACCGGGCAGGGCGCGCCCTTCGCACACCTTGGCTGAGCGCACTCGCTCGCACCCCGGCCGACGCAGGGAACCAGGAGCGAGGCGGAGCGGAGCGGGCGGGTACTTTGGGTTGGATGGGTTGGAGGGGCTGGAGATGCGGATCAGGTCAGAGCCGGGTGCGGGACGGCGCCCGAGGGGTCGGGCTCGACCCCCAAAGAGCTCCACCCGCCCCGAGTCCACGCAAGCTTGTGGCTTCCCGCGGGGCCGCGGCGCTGTGCAGTGCGGTGCGGTGCGCCCTCTCCTCCTCCGTCCCCGGGGCGTTTCTCCTCGGCCCCGCGGGATCCCGCCCCGCTCCTCGGCAGGAGAATCGGCTCTGGCAGCGCGCGGCCGCCACCTAGGGGCTGCAGAGGCGGCCGGGACCCCGCCCTGGCCCAGGGCGCGGACCCCGCCGTGCGCCCCGCCCCGCACCCGCTCTCCGCGCCCCATTGCTCCTGCCCCGCGCCCCGACCCCCGCGCTCTGCGCCCCGCCTCCGTGCCCTGGTCCCCGCGCCCCACCCCGCCCCGCCCTGGCCCCCGCGCCCCAGCCCTGCGCCCGGGCCCGCGCTCTGCGCCCCTGCTCCGTGCCCTGGTCCCTGCGCCCCACCCCGCCCCGCCCTGGCCCCCGCGCCCCGGTCCCCGCGCCCCAGCCCTCCACCCGCGCCCGCGCTCTGCTCCCCGGCTCCGTGCCCTGGTCCCCGCGCCCCACCCCGCGCATCCTGGCCCCCGCGCCTCGCGCCCCGCCCCGGCCCTCGCGGGATCGCAACTGGGCTCGGTCTGGTCAGCGACTGGCCGGCCCTCTTTGCCCTCCTCTGCCCGCACTGAGAAGGCTGCGGGTTCCCTGGAGGACTCCAGTTCCCCGGGGAGGACTCCAAGTTCCCAGGACAGGGAGCCGCTCACCGCCCCTCACCCTGTCCTCCAGCCCTTCAACGCCGCCCGGGTAGACCCTGCCCTTGGCCCGGGCTCGGCCAGCCTGGACAGCTCCGCTCCGGACCGGGGCTAAGCCACAGAGGTCGCGGTGGGGAGGAAACCGAGACCGGCTCCGATGGCGGGCTTGGGGTCCCCACGTACCCCAGGACCGACCCCGGGCACTTGAACCTCTCAAGGAGAATAGCTTTTTGCCGAGCACCCAGGTGCCGGGCCGGATTTACTCTGGCAGACCTTCTGATGGCCAGACCAGTCTGGTGAAAAGCTGCTGACCAGGGGGGGATGGACAGGGTTCACCGTGTCCCCTGGCCTTTCTGCAGCTCTGGAGTCTGAAGTCAGGGCCTCGCTCTCGTCTACTGGCTGGGCTGCAACCGCGTGAGCTGCCACCCGCTGGCTACAAGGCCAGATGGGGTCTGACTCTTCTGCCCAGGATGCCCAACTCCAGCCCTCCAGCCAGCCTCCTGGATGGCTAGGGTTAAAGTCTAGGGTAGCAGAGCCCAGATACATACTTTCTTCTGTGTTGGTCATGAGCTTGAAAGCAGGGCAAGGGCCCTGTCTCTTGGAGCTCAAGGCTAGTGCTCTGCCACTTTGACCCGCAGCTCCCCCTTCTTTACTGGTTACAGACCAACCTCGCAGAGAATTTCCCACCTGCTCTGCTCTGGAACGGCATGGGTCTGCGGATCTTAGCCTCCTGAGCAGCTAGGATTACAGGTGTGGTATGATCCACCAGGGCCCAGCCAGCTACATGCTGTTTACTGCAAGCATCTCAAGTGTGTGCACTTCAGCTTTGGCAAAACCGTTTGAACAGACCCGAGGCCAGCTTCCCACTTCCAGCCACGGGTACTGTCTTGCCTAAGGGCAACCAGACAGGTCTGTGATCCTTCCCACTGACCCTTACCTTGCCACTACTCGTTTGAAACTAAGGGTTTAGCTGTGCAGTAGCATGGTCGAGGTCACTGGCTTGCTCTCTAAAGTGTTGGAAGTCAGCTCTAGATAGGCCAGTTCTGGCAGAAGGCAACGCTTCAACAGCTAAGGAAATGCAAGCCCTGCAGGTCTTAACTTTACTTGGCTTACCTACATCCCTAGAACTCGGGGGCACAGAGTGCATTGCCATTTCTCTTCTGCCTACCCCTCAAATGTGAGAAAACCATCTGACGTGCATCTGAAGACTTGATTCTGCAAGCCAGTGACTCAACACAGCCTCCAAGGGCTGGTCCCAGAGCCCGAGGGGCAGATCCAAGGCAGCCCGTACCTGTAAGCTTAGCTACTTAAAGGGAAAGTCCGTCTTTTCTCCAATTAACCAGCAACACGTTGGAAGGAGCAGCGGCCTTTAATAAAGCTAAGGGGCAGTGCTCGGTTCTGAGCTCAAGCCCCAGTACTGTACAAAACCAGCTTCAGAATTTAGTATTTCTACTTTCACGCCATGAGTCAGGGCAATGTTTTGGGTCAAGAACTAATACAAGGGAACGAATTATGTCTAGAATCCAGAACAGCCCTTTTTCCCCCCCTGCAACTTCACAAAGCTCAAGATGGTCTACAACAGTTAACTACTCACACATTCGCTGAAGCTGGTGTTAAGTCAAAACTAGTCTTGTGATAAGCCAATATAAACTTTGGGGCATTGGCACAACCTGGACGGAAGGTCCAAGATGCTGAGTGCAGGGGATTTCCTTCACTGTAAGGAAAAGCTTCTGACCCTGCTCCCCCAGCAGTCTGACCAAAGCCTGGTGCACAAGCAAGCTCCCACTAACAACACTGCCCCCTTGCGGCCTGTGCCACGCATGTGCCAGCAGTACCGGGGACACTAAGACCTCACCCTCAAGGCAAGATGTTTGCCCATTGTTGGAGGTACCGCACTTGAGCCACAGCTCCACTTTGGTATTTTTAGAAAGCTTTGGCTATGACCCAGCCATACCACTGGTGGGCATCTACCTTGAACATGAGCCAGGATCTAAGAACACCTGCACATCTGTGTTCACTGTTGCACTAGCCAAAGGCCCAAGGAAGCCCAGATGTACTTATTTGTGCTGTACTTGTACACGGCCATCTGCAAGGAAGTGGATGGACCCAGAACCATGCTGAGGTAAGGCAAGCCCGGAAATATGAACGGCCTGCTGGATGCACTAGGATATTATACAGGATTCTGGATACAGCCAGACCGAGAGGATACTTAGAAAAACACAAGGGCACAACGCTAAGTACCAAACATTCATAGTGAAACTTAAAGGAACAAGAAACCTTTCCCTCTTCATTTCTAGCTTTTAATGATTGCCTTCCTGTCAGTCATATTCAAGAGTACATCTTTGGAAAGGGAGGGGTTAAAGAAAGTGCAGCGGTGCTCACTCGGCCTTGATGGAACTATAAAACTTGTGGGTAGAGATGGAAAGGAGACTATACCAAAGGAAACGCACCCACTACCTGACTCATGTAACTATCCCTCTGCCTCTATACAGATGAACAAGCACCACGGCTCCTTGGAGAAGCCTGAGGAAGGCCAGAGGGTGTGCACTGAGATTCCCCAAAATGCCCACCTTGGAGATCAGACTCTGCCCGCCATTCAACAACGATTATTTTATCTTTATTGGAAGTAACACCCCCCCCCCCTTCGCAGGTCATATGTTAAGAAGCAGTCACTCCTGTTGTCCTCAGAAGCCAGGTTAGAAGAGCTACTCCAGCCAGTCTCCCCTCTAGGAGAGGGGGAGCTTCGTATCTGGAAACATCTGCATAGCCCTAATTGCCACTACATCAGGCAGAGATTCTCAGGGTAGGATGTCATTTTACCATGCAAGTTTATTTCTGATAAAGCACAAGCTTAATGGTTAAATACAAAGAAACAGTGCTACTTTATTAAAATACTGAGTTTATTTCCCGTGTATATTTTGTACCCCACCATCTTCACATCTGACCATCACTTCTACTAGGCCCACCATAGCATTCCACACATACTTAAGTCCAAGCACAGGTGGAGCTCAGTCTTTAAAAACTAAACAGGCATTTTGGACAACAGGTTCTTGGCAGCAGGAGCCTGAACAACATTTATCAAACACAGTAGGGAAAGTTCTCACTTTGCATTATAAAAAGGACAGCCAGATATCAACTCTTACAGAAATGAAATGAGACGGAAAATTTCAACAAACTGTTCAAAGTACTTTCTTAAAGAGACTTCCTCCATTGCCAGAGATCTTGAATAGCCTGAAGACAAAAGAAAAAAAGGAGGTTAAGAAGCATTATTTTACAGACTGTAAAGCCTCCCTACCACCACTCCTGATAAGGTACTTTATAAAAATGAGTTACAGGCTAATGAAACGTAGGAATCATCAGGCAGTACCCAGCTTCAGGGTCAAGAGTCCAAGTAGCTGACCTCAATAAGCCCACCTGCATTCCCCGTTGCTCTGGACTGGAACAGCTGAATTGGCTTGTGGGATATCCCACTTGCAGGTGGCTTCATTCCTTGCCCAGCATTAACTCACTCTGCAAACTACCCTGTCAAGGTGATCCAAGCTCCTAAGTACCTTTCACTAAGACCCTTCTCAGCTATATTTCATAATGACTAATGCTGGGTCAACTGTATTACTTCCTTTTTGACCAGGGGTGAATATTTACTGTATCAAACTTCTCAAAAAATGAAATTCTACCTCACAGCATCAGGCTTTTTCCCCACTTGGGAATTAATGTCTCTTGATACTTTTGTCAGTGACGATCTTGACAAAATGGACACTGCCTGCTGCACACCCCCAAACAAGCCAGGTACTGTGGTCATATGCCTGTAGTCCTATTGGAGGCCAGCCCAGGCAGTGTTTAAAAGGCCCCTTTCTCAGCCACAAGCAGTACACGCTGCTCTTGTTCATTCAGACATGGACAGAGTTGTTCTAAGCTGACCTCCCACAGCCATATATCCTTCAATGGATTCTAAGCTTAGAAACTGAAACATCCAACTAATGCTCATGTAAAATGCTGCTGCAACAATCCAACTGAGAAAGAAAAACTATAGGCAGAACCAGAATCCTTAGTCTAGAAGAGGAAGTAATGGCAGAGGCCGCATCTGGCCTGTGGAAGACAGTGGGTCTGGGTACGGCCTAACAAAAATGCTAAGATCTACAGAATCAATACTGAACTCAAGCTAAAAGACAGTAAGCCACATGCCCCCTTGACACAAAACCCTTCAGGCTGATTTCAGCCAAGCGTTTTCCCAGTCCACCTTCTGTAGTCTTCTCTATCCGCTCAAAAAAGCAAAAACACAGGCGGCCAAAAGCAGCCCGAAAGGAGCGGCAAGGAAAAACCACAGCTCTACTTCCCCCAGCCAAAGTAGTACCCAAAAAGAAAAGCCAAGCCCAGTAACCAAGAGATACTTTATAAAAGCTAGGAAAAAATGTACTAAAAAAGCTATCTTTTCAGCCTCTGCCAACTAAATTCTTAAAGAGTTTCCACATATTAAGTATTGTCTGTGGTTAGGAACCTTTTAAAAGAAGCCAACAACTTGAGAGACTAAGAGAAAATAATAAATCATAGTAAGAGATTTTTATTTGGTCATATCCCAGAAAAATCAGTTACCTCCTGGTCAGTCATCCGGAAGCAATTCTTCACGTAATTGATGAACTTGGCTTCCACTTTGGGGAGAGAACCACCCTGTTGAGGGGGGGAAAAAATTAAGGGTAAGCAAAAAAACAAAACAAAAACACAATTCCTTCAAGATTTACATGCTATTTAATACATGGACTAGTTCCCACCAATTCACTTTAAAAAAAACTACTCAGTGTCACTGTGAACCCAAAACAGGTATTTGGATAGCACACTGAAGCCGTGGCGTTCCTAAGTTTTGCTGTGAGGTTCGATTTTTAAGACCAGACATGCAAACCTCAGGAGGTAACAAGTCAGCTCCTCGCTACTCTCCACCATCCAGAATCAGATTCAAAGCAACACAGGCTCCCCTTCTGAGATCCATGCTTGCCAACAGAGCAACCTTTAGCTATACCAGCAAACACTAATTACAAATACCAGTTTGGGGCTATAATGCTGAACAGGGAAAAGACTGACAGGGACTAATCTCTCTTAAAGAAACACATCATAAATACCCAAGAGTTTGTCACCAAATTTAAGACGTTACACAATTATTACACACACCTTAAAATATACCCATCACTACTGTGGAATTTTAATTTGGCATACTGAACATCTCTTTCCCTGCTTAAACTAAGTATTAATTTCTTTTTGCCCTTGGTATCTTTCATGCATCTGAGATGGCTTCCACATGCCAGAAGCAGCTATATTATTTTGCCTCTATCACAGAAAATGCCTAGAAAACAAACCTCACTACAGTCTCCATTTGAAAATTAGCGCCACATACATCCTTATTTGATTCATTCAAATATTTATTGAGCAGCTATGGGATACAAAGTGGACTAAGGCATGGTCAAATTGACGGAGCACATGCACAAAAGAAAGCAGGACGCAAGGATTACTCAATCACAGCAGCGCACCAAGAGTGCGTTAGGAAACCAAGATTGCTTCCAGCCTGGAGGGGGTATGGGTGGCAAATCAGGAAAGGGGATTGAGATTAAGATAGAAGACTTCAGTCTGGATTGTTGATGATAGTCAGTATGGACTCTATCTGTTTCTCCTTTTCCTCTTTCCCCATCTTTGGGCTTTAATTTACCAGTAGTGCCCAGGGCTGTTCAAAGTGCCTGCAATCAAACCAAGGAGACAGGACCACATTAAAACTGGGGGAGGGGCATCATTTTAGCACTGTCTGCAAGGGGCAAAAACACATCAGTGATATTAGGAAAGCAGGTTTACAGCGATGGCAGCAGAGCAAGGCACTGCAGCACTAGGTTCCGAACGCACTCCTCCCTCACTTCACGGGCCAGAGCCTGCGTGGCAGTGGGACAAGGACCGGGAAAGGCGCTGGCAGCCTGTCGTCACCCTCGAGGGTGATACCAGGCATCACATTCACGGCTCTATTCGTGCAAGTCCATCGCTCAGGAGTTTAGTCCCCAGGAGTAAATGCAGGACGAAAGCTGAAGCCTCCTTGTACATCGAAGACAAAAGGAGACTCGATGTAAGCCTGGTAAGCCACACACAAATCCAAGGTGCCGCCCTAGCACTGACCTGGGGATCTGGTGGGTTATGAAAAGCAAACATAACCATTCTGTTTAGTCTACCAAGCAACTATGTAACAGCACTCAGGGCTCAGCTACTGAAGACTCATGCGCCCCCTGCTGGTGCTGCTGGGCATCAGAACAGGTAGAGCTCCATTTTATCTCTAACTTGTGATGTGCTGGTAACTTTCTAATGGAAAGGTATCACACAAGATTGCAAATTAACTAGTTAATTTTTGCAATCCACTTGGAAAACAGCCACATACCACCAAAAGGGCAATGACAACAATTCATCCAAGTTGCCAGAGCCTCAATTTGAAATGGAAAAAGACCTATCTAAATATTTTACTCACTTTTTCTATACTTGCTTGCATTTTTGCTTTAATGTCTTCTACTGAACTAGGTCCTTTTGGTGTTTTAGGAGTTTTTTCCTGTTTTTTGAAGGATTCTTGACCCTGGAAAAAAATTAAAAAGATTGCTATGAGTGTATTAATATAACATATAGCTCTTCAACTGGAATTCTTAAACTACTATAGCCATATGCAAATTATGCTGTACATGTTTCTAAAAATCATTTCTTAGCAGGCCACCTATGGCTCACATCTATAATCCTAGTTGCTCAGAGGCTGCCTGAGGATATAGTAAGTGGTCTGGGCCAGAAAAGTCGGTGAGACTTCTCTCATTAACCACTGAACAGTAGAGCTATGCTTCCTTGACAGAGGGTTAAGCTTTAGCAAAAAACCTCAGTACAGTGACCAGAGGGAATTCAAACTAGCTAAACACAACACAAAATCACTTAGGAGAATTAACAGATTCCTCTTTTGTAGTTTAATTTTTAAATGTCAATTTCAGCTCATAAATCTAACACCAAACAAAGCCATTATCCTCTGTCAGGTAAGTAATTCCTTACAGCAAACCTGTGCATGGAACTCTTCTATGGGCTTGGTTCCCAGCAGGCTCTTGGCCAAAGTGTGTGGTGAACCCCAATGCTTAGTCAGTTTACCTTTTTTGTGGCATTGGAGACTTAAATCAGGCTCTTGAACCATACCAGTCTATAGCTTTATTTTTGTCTATGTTGTTTTTTGGCGGTCTCCACAGTAGGTAGAACTACAGCTATGTACACTACCAAGCCCCTCCCCTGTCATTTACTAGGATCTCCAAATGTCCAAATTTCAGACAGGCCAGGTGTATCCATAACCTATGTGCTACTACTTACTTTTGATCTTGGTGTCGCTGGTTTTGAGTCTTTTCCGTTCTGGTTTGATTTTTGTGCATTTTTGGCTGGAGTATCTCGTATAGACTGAAATTAAAGAGATTAGTCATCTGAATTCCTAAAGGTTAACCCTGTGTCACACCTAAAACAAAGCATTCGTCTGGCAAAATGCTGGGTAAAGAAAGGACTTGCCAACTGTAGCAGTCTCAAGCTCTCAGGAAATTTGTATCTGATGTGACATTTCCTGAGCCAGTTTTCACCAGGTACATACAGAGTAACACTCGTTTCTGCCACTTTTGTGCAACATCTACTCACTTTCTTCACTGGAACTTTTTCTTCTGCTTCCTCGTCATCAAAATCATCATCATCACTACAAATGAAATAAAACATCATATTGGCAGTGCATAAGTGATGGTATGTCTGCATATGCTCAGCACAAGCAGCAACTGTGTGGCTGACGCCAGATGTGCAGCCTACCAGACACAGCGCTAAATACACATGCAAATTCACGTAGAATCAAGGAGGACAACATACTGGCACACCACACCATTTCCCTTAATAGCAGAGCCACTAAGCTGGTAGCTGATTTGCCTAGTACAAATGGAAATTTTTATCCCAAGACTTAGAGGACCATGGCAGACTTCTAAGCATTAAAAAAGAAAAGCTTGGGGCTGGGAAGATGGGTCGTGGCAGAGCGCTTGCCTTGCATGCATGAGGCTCTGGGTTTGATTCCTCAGCACCACATAAGCAGAAAAAAAAAAAAACAGCCAGAAGTGGCGCTGTGGCTCAAGTGGTAGAGCGCGAGCCTTGAGCTGAAAAGCTGAGGTACAGCATCCAGGCCTAGAGTTCAGGTCCACGATCGAACCCAAAAAATAAGTACATAAATAAAAAATTTCCCTTTGCCTTGCATGCATGAGGCCCTGGGTTCGATTCCTCAGCACCACATAAACAGAAAAAGCCAGAAGTGGCGCTGTGGCTCACGTGGTAGAGCGCTAGCCTTGAGCTGAAGAGCTGAGGGACAGCGCCCAGGCCCAGAGTTCAGGCCCCACGACCAGACCAAAAAAAAAAAAAAAGCTTCAATTTTCTAGTCTAAGTTGTAAGATTTTGGCTTAATTGTCTTCCACGTATACCGTGTAAGAATGAGAGATGAGGCACTGTCTCATTTGCCTGCCAGCTTTGGTGGGCAGCAGCCACCTCACCAGTGAGCCCAGAACACCTGTTCCTCCACCGGCATCCATTCATTGTCCTGTCATCCCAGCTACTCTGGAGACTAATCTGTGAGGTCAAGCCATTCCATGGGGACAATTTTGAAAATTCTCAAGTTAGAGAGGGTTCACTGGAGGCATGCTCAAGTGGAAGAGTGGTGGCTGGGAGGAACTGGAAAGCCCCAGACTGATTGATGGCTGCACTACCTTCCCAGATTTGGACCTTCATTTCTAAAAGCTTATACCCTGAAGAACACAAATATAAAAACTGACAGTTACTTGAGAAAAAAACCTCCTAAGGCCCAGAAGATGGGGCTATTAGTTCCAACTTAATGCATGCTAAGAAAGAAGATTGTTGTACTTACTCCTCCTCCTCCTCATCATCTTCATCCTCTTCTTCCTCATCTTCCTCAGCAAGCTTTACTTTTTTCTGATAAAAGCAAGTATATACTTGTTGTGAGCGAGCGCTGCTCTTTGTCACCAAAGCAAAAAAAGGCTAGCTAGAAACACAATCCACAGCAGTAAAAATCACATCTACCTGTGGAACCTTGCTACCACCTCCAGGGGCAGATCGCTTTCCAGACACGCTCAACAGCTTTACATCCTCCTCTTCTTCATCTTCTGACTCTGCATCCTCCTCCACAGCAACTAAGTGCTGCCCGCTGATGTGCACAGGCCCTGACCCACACTTCAGCCTCAGGACCACAGGTGGTGTGATTTCAAAGCCCCCAAGGGACACCTGAAGAGGAGAAAAATCTTAAATGTTGTGAAAATGCTGTAAATGAACACTTCTCAGCAAACCTTCAACAAACCCATGAACCAATTTACTACCTCTAACAGACACCAGAAACCATGTGACTGTTCCCCAAGTTCTGAAATGCAAGTCGGAACACAGGAACAAAGACCAAGAGAGCCCCTTTCTCATCTTTGTGTAACCTCAACAGTACCAATCTTAGGAGGATGAAAGTAACATAAACCCCAAAGTTTAAGCAGTCTTACCGTTGGCTGTACAGACATTTTCAAAGTTGCCAGTGTAACCTTAATTGGACTTCCCTCATAATTCATTGCCTCTGCTTCAACGATGTGCAATTCATCTTTTGCACCAGCCCCTAAACTAACCTGAACAACAACAACAAAAAAATAGGGTTAGTTCAATGCCAGCTGCCTTGTAATCCCTCCAAATTCTAGTTTGTGCTAAGTATGAACTTGGTTGTTATCACTGGTGGAAATCAAATGTAAAGAAATGCATCATAAAGACCCAACCAACAGCTTCAACTGACAAAATCGGACTGGGTTCCAGTTACTCTCGAGTCAAACTGCGGCGGGAGTGTACGCATAGGCGAGCACTACCCGCGCTGTTTCCCTTCGAACTCACCGTTCTCAGGGATAACTGGTGCTCGTTTTCGTCATTATCCACCTTGAAGTGGTAATCTTTGTCAGCCTTCAGCTCACAACCTGTGAAGAGGGGAAGTTCCTCCAGAACCGCTCCCGGGTCGTTCTCCCGTCGTCCTCGGGAGCCGGGCCTGTGCTCGGCGGGCCGGGCTAGTCTTCCAAGGCCGAGCGGCCCCGCGGACGCCAGGCGGGCTGGCGCGGGCCTCGCCGGGACAAAGGCCCTGGGCGGCCCGGTGCCGGGGCCCCGCTCGGCGGGGCGGGCGGCGCAGCCCCGGCCGAGGCGCCGGGCGCGAGCCCCGGATGTGCGGCCCGCACCCCTTCCCCACCGGGCCACGTGGCGGCCACGTGGTCGGCGCGGCGGGCCCCTCGCCGCCCCCTCCCCGGCGGCCTCCCCCGGCCTCGGCCCTGCGCAGCCGGCAGGCCGGCCCCCGAGCCCAGCCTGGCCCGCCGCAGGCCCCGGCCTCGAGTCCCCGGCTCCTCGAGTCCCCAGCCCCGGCCCCGTCCTCGGTCCTCCAGCGCCCGCAGGCCCGGCCCCAACACCGCGGCTCCCCCCGGCCCCGACTCCCATCTCCCGCAGGCCCCGGCGCCCGCAGGCCCGGCCCCAACACCGCGGCTCCCCCCCGCCCCGGCTCCCATCTCCCGCAGGCCCCGGCGCCCGCAGGCCCGGCCCCAACACCGCGGCTCCCCCCGGCCCCGGCCCCCGGGCCTCTCAGCCCCACCCTCGGTCCTCCAGTACCTGCAGGTCCGGCCCCGGCCCCCAGGCGCCTTTTAGGCCCGGCCCCGGCTCCCCGTTCCCGCGGCGCCTTTTAGGCCCGGCCCCGGCTTCCGCAGGCCCCGGCCCGCCCCCCGGCCCCGGCCCCCCGGCTCCCGCAGGCCCCGGCCCCGGCCCCCCGGCTCCCGCAGGCCCCCCGGCTCCCGCAGGCCCCCCGGCTCCCGCAGGCCCCCCGGCTCCCGCAGGCCCCCCGGCTCCCGCAGGCCCCCCGGCTCCCCCGGCCCCGGCCCCGGCGCCCGCAGGCCCCCCGGCTCCCGCAGGCCCCGGCCCCGGCCCCGGCGCCCGCAGGCCCCCCGGCGGCCCCGGCCCCCCGGCTCCCCCGGCCCCGGCGCCCGCAGGCCCCCCGCCACCAGCCCCACCCCGAGCCCAGGCCCGCGGCGGCCGCCCGCCACCGGCCGCGTACCGAACAGGTAGTTCTGGGGCCGCAGCGGGCTCATGTCCATGTCCATCGAGTCCTCCATGGGCGGCGCGCGGCGAGGGCGGACGGAGGAGGGCGGCTCCGCGGCCGAGGGCAGACGCAGGACGGAATCACGCCAAGGAAAGGACGCGGGCCGCCTGCGCGTTTATAAGGCCTGCGCACATCTCGCGAGAGCTCGCCAAGCCCCGCCCCCCGCGCGCGTGCTCGAGAAGATCCTTCTCTCCGGCCGGGCCGCACTCCCGCGCAGGCGCACTTCCACCCCACCGCCCAATCCCGCCTTGCCGTCTTCCACCCACCACCGCCAGGTGCCTGGCGGGCTCGCACTGCGCACGCGCGCGGCGCCGGGCCACACCCCCTCCGGCGCCGCGCGCACCCGGCGCCGCGCGCGTGCGCGCTCCTCCGCGCCGGCGTTCCGGTTAGGCTGGGCTGTCCCCCGGCCTTGTCGTGGCTTTTGTGTCTGGCTGGTCCTGGCGCTTGAGCTCGGGCCCGGGCTCTGCCCGAGCCTCAGCCCCACTGCCGGCCTTTTCTGCGTGTGTGGTGCCGGGGACCCGAACCCGGGGCCCGCCCCGCCCCGCGCGCGTCCCCGCCGGGCGCCGAGCCCAGGCTGCGGGAGCGGCCGCGCGGCTCCCGGCCTCCCGCCCCGCAGGCGGCGCGGCGAGCTCGGGCGGGGCCCGCGGGGCCTGACGCGGAGATCCCCGGCCTGGCCTCCGGAGTGGGCCGCCGCGGCCGGGCCGGTGCGGGGCGCGTGCGCGTGCGCAGTGGGGGCACCGGCAGGCCCAGCCCCGGCCGGCCGGCAAAGTGACGCCGGCCACGGCGCGAGGGCAGACGCACACGCGGGCCCCGCCTGTCCTCCCAGCCGTCCGGAGCCTGAGACCCGAGGACGCGGTTCAAAGCCAGCCGCGAGACCGGAAGCGGCTCGGGGGTAGGGAGCTAGCGCTCCCTGAGAACAGCGCCCAGGCCCAGAGCTCAAGCCCCACGACCCACAGGAAGTGACCGCATGCACAGCGTGCACACACATGCAAAGGACTGCGTGCACACACATGCAAAGGACTGCGTGCACACACATGCAAAGGACTGCGTGCACACACATGCAAAGGACTGCGTGCACACACATGCAAAGGACTGCGTGCACACACATGCAAAGGACTGCGTGCACACACATGCAAAGGACTGCGTGCACACACATGCAAAGGACTGCGTGCACACACATGCAAAGGACTGCGTGCACACACATGCAAAGGACTGCGTGCACACACATGCAAAGGACTGCGTGCACACACATGCAAAGGACTGCGTGCACACACATGCAAAGGACTGCGTGCACACACATGCACAGCGTGCACACACAGCAAGAGGACTTAAGATGAGAAAGGCGCGGTTCCAGGGAGTGAGGAGGCTGTTTAGAGCCCCCGAACTATCCGGTAGACTGCTGGAGTGGGGTATATACCATGCATTCATCAGAACCGATGGCTTGGGCCGGGTGTGGTAACACACGCCTGTCATCTCAGTACACAGGAGGCTGAAGCCAGAGGACTGCAAATTCATAACAAGGCTTTTCTACTTTCTGCATAGCAAGTTCCAGGTCAGCCTGCACGACACCAAGACAAGAAGGAACCATAACGTAACCTGTCAACTTGGGGCGCCTGGCGGATCCCTCAGTTGCAGGAACGAAGGAGTCTAATGCAGAGGAAGTCCAGCGCAGGAGGAAGAGTATTCCCTGGAGTTTCTGCTTCATTTTGCTATGAACCTAAAGATGTTCTTAAAAAAAAATTTGTAATCATCTGTTTATATGCCAAAAAATACCTAGAGGGAAATTTACCATGACAGATGTCCATATTAGAAAAGATCCCCAGGTGAAAAACCTAACATCATATCTCTAAGTAAGCACAGAGCCTTGGATTCAAACTCTAGTACCACCAGAAAGAGAAACAGAGAGGAATGAAATATTTACAAATAAGGAAAAGTTTATATTAAAAATACATTAAAAATACACAGTAGCAGGACTGGGAAGGTGGCTCCATGGTAGAGTGCTGGCCTCACGTGCATGAGGCCCTGGATTCAATTCCTCAGCACCACATACACAGAAAAGGCTGGATGGAAGTGGTGCTGTGGCTCAAGTAGTAGAGTGCTAACCTTGAGCTGAAGAGCTGAGGTACAGCGCCCAGGCCCAGAGTTCAAGTCCCACGACCAACCAAATATATATATATATATATATATATATATTCATATACACACACACATATATATACAATAGCAAAAATAAAACAGGAAACCTGATTTTAAAAATGGTCAAAGGATCTACTGTGTATTTCTCAGTCAAAAACTAAGAAGTATATGTAAAGGTGTCAGCATCAATAATTAGAGAAACAGAATCACAGCGAGCTATCACCTACATCGAAAGACAGCCAGCATTGAGGACGTGGACAGGAAGCAAGCCATGCACACGGGCGGGTGGTGGGCATAGATAATAGCATGGAAGTGTCTCGAAAACTAAAACTATTTAGAAGTTTTTGTCATGAAGGAGCATGTTGTCCCCATGGTGCCATTCACAGTGGCACGGTGTGGGACAACTGTGTCTGTGGCAGAGGAGCGGATAAACGAGATGTGATACGGAAGGCATGCGTGTGGGTAATCAATGAAGAGTTACCCTTTGGGGAAGGAAGTCCTTCCGAGGTCCACGTCCTACACCGAGGTCCACGCCCTGCACCGAGGTCCACATCCTGGTTTGCTTCTGGAGACGTTTGTGAAGGTCTTCTGGGTGTGACCAGGCTGCGCCTCCAATCTGAGGCTGAGAGGCTGGCCACTCCGGGTGCCAGGATGCCCCCCACAGGGCCAGGCCGGGATGGTGGCATCAGCAGTGGGACTCGGAAGTGTTGGTTAGCTGTCTAAAGGCCCAACCAAGAGGCCTAGGAACTTGGGAGAAGTTGCGGTGGAAGAAGTCCCAGGGTTCTGTTCGGTGCACCTGAGCCTGCTCATATTCGGGTTCATTTCTGGGCCCTAAAAGCTGACCGCCAGACCTGGGCCAGTGTTGGCTTCTTTCCGGGTCTGCACTCTCTGGTTGGAGTGGAGCGGTAAAACTCACCAGACAACAGCAGGGGGCGCTGTGAAACCGAGCTGTTCTGCCAGGTTTAAGCTCTCCAAGTACTAACATCCTGGGATGGGCTGGGAGGGTGGCTCCCGGTAGAGCACTCACCTAGCACCCCTGACGCCCGGGGTTCGATTCCTCAGTACCACATACACAGAAAAGGCCAGAAGTTGTGCTGTGGCTCTAGAGTGCTAGCTTTGAGGAAGTGCCCAGGCCCTGAGTTCAAGCTGCAGGACTGGCAAAAATAAATAAAATCATGGAAGTCAGGTGTGGGTGGCTCACGCCTGTCATCCTAGCTACCCAGGAGGCTGAGATTGAGGATTGCGATTTGAAACCAACCCAGGCAGGAAAGTCTGTGAGACTCTTATCTCCAATGAACCACCAAAAAGCCAGAAGTGGAGCTGTGGCTCAAGTGGTGGTACACTAGCCTTGAGCAAAAAGGAGCTCAGGGACAGCGCCCAGGCCCTGAGTTCAAGCCCCAGGATCAGCAGAAATAATAATAGAGAAAGCATCTGAACCATATCTCAGTTCGCAACTTAAATTAGAACCCTTCGATGTTTTGCCTTGAAATATCACTAATTTGACCTGAAAGGCAAATCATACAAATAAAATCATTCCACAGCTGATGATTTCATAAGAGTTCTGTAAATTTACAAGGGCCAGTGTTTGCTCTTTCTTCTTTTTTCTTTCATTCTTCCTTTTTTCGTTGTTGTTATTGGTCATGGGGCTTGAACTCTGGGCCACCAGCACTGGCTTCGTGCCAGTGTTCTTGTGCCTGAGGGTACGTGTAATAAAATTCTGATTGCGTGTTCTCCTTGAAGGGTTAACAGCAGAGATTGCCCGTGGCTCACAGGACTTCAGTGGTTTGGCCCAGAGGGAGTAAGGTGCTGGGCAGAAAACGTGTGTTCAGCCCAGCAGAGAAGGCCAGTTTCCTTGTCACTTCCAGCTTTGTGTAGGATTGTGTGAGAGGGACTGGTACTAATTTCTGAAGCTTGCTATACGTGAGCCCAGGGCCTGGTGCCTAGAAGACGCTGAGTCCTCGTATCTCTCTTCCTTTGCTCTTCCCTGAGTGTTCTGTATGCACTTCTTGTGGAAACACTCGGCTTCCACGCAGACTGGTCACATTATGCGCTATCCTCGGTCACTGACTTCGGGTGTTAGGAACACCAGAGGTAAAACGCAGCCAGTGTACCGTTGAGCAAGGGCTCTGAGGTCTTCTCTCTGCTGGCGTTTGGTTTTGATGGCCTCCTGTGAGCCGCTGGTGGAGCTCCTCTCAGGAGGAGCTATCCCAGGTCCGTGCCAGCTTGCTGAGGCAGAGATCAACTCAGAGACCCACTGTCGCCCCACGATTGAATTAGAGCCATCATTTTGACAAGTACGGCAGCAGAATCATCAGTTTAGCCACCAGCAATCCATGTGTCTCTTTAAGTTCATAAATAAAACATCCTTCATTAAGAATTTCCTAGTAAGCAAAAGCAAACCAGCGATCTCCACCCCCCTATACATTACAAAGTAAAATGATATAATAGTAATCAAATCAAATCATGTCTAGGAGTTTTATAGACAACTAATAGCTGTGATTGCAAAGTGCACATCAGATACCAATTGAAGGGTACTTTTCTCTTTAATATAATGTACTATGCATATTCCACAAACTGTCTCATGATATCAAATGAATTTAACAAGATGATTATGTAGGTCAAATTACTTAGTAAGTTCTTTCAAGAACAGCTCTTAGACCTATTATGACTTTTAATGGCACAATTTGTTAAATGATTGCTGTTTCTAGAATCCTGCCTGCACATGCCTGTCAGAAACGCTAGCTGTGCCCTGTGGTCTATTTTTTAAATCTACGTCTTGCTTGTGGCAATTGAAACAAAAACGACCACCAAAGAACAACTTCCTGTAGCTCATCCTTCATTTTAAATTATTTAAACCACTTCCTTATTGCCAAATTATAATTTGAATTTTCTCATCTTAAGTAACCTTTAGACCAAATTTCTTTCCACTCTGTATGAAGATGTCCTGAGAGTTCTTTTATTTAATGTCAAAAGCTGTGGACAGAATGGATCTCGTGGACGTTTAAAGTGTCTTCGGCGGGAAGGCAGCTGTCTACTGCACAGCTCCATACAGAAGAGCCCAGGAGACCGGACGGAGATCTTTGGTCTTCACCTTCCTTTGTGGTGCTGTTGCCGTTCGTGGGTATTTTAGTTTTACTCACTGAGAAAGCTGTAGGTTTTTAAAAACTGTTCACTAATGTCGCGCTGGTGGCTCACGCCTGTGATCCTGCTCAGGAGACTGAGAACTGAGGGTCATGGTTCAAAGCCAGCACAGGCAGGAAAGTGTGGGAGACTCTTATCTCCAATAAACCACTCAGAAAAAGCTGGACGTGGTGCTGCAGCTCCAGTGGTAGAGCGCTGGCCCTGAGCACGGGGAGGCCCAGGGACAGGGCCCCGGCCCTGAGTTCAAGCCCCAGGACTGGCAAAAACACCACCACCACCAAATAAATGCTGCCCACTGACAGCCTTTCTTTTTCTTTTTTTCCTCTTTCCTTCCTTCCCGTCTTCTTTCTCTCTTCTCTTTGAGATGGAGTCTTGTGATGCTGCCCAGGCTGACCTTGCCCTGGTGGGCTCTGGTGCAGTCCCGCCGGGGAGCCGGGGCTCCAGGCACACACCGACTGCCGTACGAAGTCAATTCAAGCTCTGTGATGATCTTTCAACGGATGTTCTTCTGACGCCTACCTCGAGGCTCTGGTTTGGGCGCCTCCGCGGGCCTGAACCCCTCATGGGGGGTCCTCCCCGCCCCAGCTCGCGCCCGGCTCGCCCCTCTCCCGGCCTCCGTGGGAGTCACGAGCACAGGGTCCTAGAGCCAGGCCGGCGTCCGTGGGAGGCAAACCCGGCCGACTTCGGTGGGCTGCAGGCGGCGCGGGGCGGGAGGCGGGCGGCGACCCCCGATGGCGTCCCCGCGCCCCCCGATGGCGTCCCCGCGCCCCCCGATGGCGTCCCCGCGCCCCCCCATGGCGTCCCCGCGCCCCCCGATGGCGTCCCCGCGCCCCCCGAGGGCGTCCCCGAGCCCCCCGAGGGCGCCCCCGCGCCCCCCGATGGCGTCCCCGCGCCCCCTGATGGCGTCCCCGAGCCCCCCGAGGGCGCCCCCGAGCCCCCCGAGGGCGTCCCCGCGCCCCCCCATGGCGTCCCCGCGCCCCCCGAGGGCGCTCCCGAGCCCCCCGATGGCGTCCCCGCGCCCCCCCATGGCGTCCCCGCGCCCCCCGGACGGCGCCCCCGCGCCCCCCGATGGCGTCCCCGCGCCCCCCGGACGGCGCCCCCGCGCCCCCCGATGGCGTCCCCGCGCCCCCCGGACGGCGCCCCCGCGCTCCCCGGTGCCCCCCGCCCGCCCGCGCCCCGCGCCCCGCGGTGCCCCCCGCCCGCCCGCGCCCCGCGCCCCGCGGTGCCCCCCGCCCGCCCGAGCCCCGCGCCCCCCGGTGCCCCCCGCCCGCCCGAGCCCCGCCCGCCCGCGCCCCGCCCGCCCGCGCCCGCGCCCCGCGGTGCGCCCCGCCCGCCCGCGCCCCGCGGGCCTGGAGATGGCGGGGCGGCGCCTCCCGCACCGGGGCGGATGACGGGCGCCCGGCCAGGCTCGGGGTCCCCCGCGTCCGCCCGCTGTGCGGCTCCGCCCGGGCGCCCCGGAGCCCGGCTTCCGACGTGGGCCGGTCCGTGTCCTCGGTGCGGTGTCCCGCAGCCCCGGGCGGGGACGAGTCCGGGCGGGCAGGTGCGGCCCGAGACGCGGCCGCCAGGGGACCCCCGACGGCTCGGGACCCCCCCCCCACCCCGACAGCACGAGACCCCACCCCACCCCACCCCGACGGCACGGGACCCCCCCCACCCCACCCCGACGGCACGGGACCCCCCCCACCCCGACGGCACGGGACCCCCCCACCCCGACGGCACGGGACCCCCCCCACCCCACCCCGACGGCACGGGACCCCCCCCCCATGGCACGGAACCCCCTCCGATGGCACGGGACCCCACCCCGACAGCACTGGACCCCCCCCCACGGCATGGGAGGACGGGGTGGGGATGGTCGGCGTCCAGCGTCCCGGCCTCCTGTCCCCCGCTCGGCCTGGCGAGTGGCCGGGCCCCGACTCAGCACGGGCAGAGGCTGCATTAATCAGAGCCGGAAGGGAAGTTATCACAGGACAGCCAGGGCCCCACTGACCCGGCACCGTCCAGGGTCACCCGAGAGACAGGCGAAGGCAGGGTCAGGCCAGAGAGGACCAGAGATGACAGCCTCCCTCCATCATCCACACAGCACAGTGACAGCTCCCCTCCATCATCCACACAGCACAGTGACAGTCCCGCCTCCATCATCCACACAGTGACAGTGACAGCCCCCCTCCATCATCCACACAGTGAGAGTGACAGCCCCCTCCATCATCCACACAGTGACAGTGACAGCCCCCCTCCATCATCCACACAGTGACAGTGACAGCCCCCCTCCATCATCCACACAGTGAGAGTGACAGCCCCCTCCATCATCCACACAGTGACAGCCCCGCCTCCATCATCCACACAGCACAGCGACAGCCCCGCCTCCATCATCCACACAGCATAGTGACAGCCCCCCTCCATCATCCACACAGTGACAGTGACAGCCCCCCTCCATCATCCACACAGCATAGTGACAGCCCCCCTCCATCATCCACACAGCGACAGCCCCCCTCCATCATCCACACAGTGACAGTGACAGCCCCCCCTCCATCATCCACACAGTGACAGCTCCCCTCCATCATCCACACAGCAACAGTGACAGCCCTGCCTCCATCATCCACACAGTGACAGCCCCCCTCCATCATCCACACAGTGACAGTGACAGCCCCCCTCCATCATCCACACAGCAACAGTGACAGCTCCCCTCCATCATCCACACAGTGACAGTGACAGCCCCCTCCATCATCCACACAGCGACAGTGACAGCTCCCCTCCATCATCCACACAGTGACAGTGACAGCCCCCTCCATCATCCACACAGTGACAGCCCCCCTCCATCATCCACACAGCGACAGTGACAGCTCCCCTCCATCATCCACACAGCAACAGTGACAGCCCCGCCTCCATCATCCACACAGTGACAGTGACAGCCCCCCTCCATCATCCACACAGCACAGTGACAGCCCCCCTCCATCATCCACACAGCACAGTGACAGCCCCGCCTCCATCATCCACACAGCACAGTGACAGCCCCGCCTCCATCATCCACACAGCACAGTGACAGCCCCGCCTCCATCATCCACACAGCACAGTGACAGCCCCGCCTCCATCATCCACACAGTGACAGTGACAGCCCCCCTCCATCATCCACACAGCACAGTGACAGCCCCCCTTCCATCATCCACACAGCGACAGTGACAGCCCCACCTCCATCATCCACACAGTGACAGTGACAGCCCCGCCTCCATCATCCACACAGCACAGTGACAGCCCCCCTCCATCATCCACACAGCGACAGTGACAGCCCCGCCTCCATCATCCACACAGCAACAGTGACAGCCCCCCTCCATCATCCACACAGCAACAGTGACAGCCCTGCCTCCATCATCCACACAGTGACAGCCCCCCTCCATCATCCACACAGCACAGTGACAGCCCCGCCTCCATCATCCACACAGCACAGTGACAGCCCCGCCTCCATCATCCACACAGTGACAGTGACAGCCCCCCTCCATCATCCACACAGCACAATGACAGCCCCCCTTCCATCATCCACACAGCGACAGTGACAGCCCCACCTCCATCATCCACACAGTGACAGTGACAGCCCCGCCTCCATCATCCACACAGCACAGTGACAGCCCCCTCCATCATCCACACAGTGACAGTGACAGCCCTGCCTCCATCATCCACACAGCAACAGCCCCTCTCCATCATCCACACAGCTGGGTGGAAGCTGCCACTTTCAAGTGGCACCAGCTACAAACACCAACAGGACCCCAGATTGTGGCAGCGCCATTGCTCCCTGGGCCCCGAGCTTAGCCAGGTGTCCCGTGAGCCCTGGAGAGCCCAGGTTGCCCTGGAACCAGGCGTGGGATGCCAACTTCGCCCGTCCCCGGGCTCCGGACGGCTGCTCTGCCTGCCTCTCCACTCTGCCCCACTGAGGACAGGCGTCGTTTCCGTGTGTCCCCTGGGCTTCCCGTAGGAGGCAGAGCTCTGGCTCCTTTGGTACAGACGTCCCCTCCCTGATCCAGCTGGAAGGCAGGCACCAACGCCCACCCAGGGAAGGGGCGGGCGGGGAGGGCTGGCTCCCTTTCCCTCCCTGCTCCCCCAGCTGGAAAGTTCCACCTGCTTTCCCCCCCGCACTGGCTCCGCGTGCCTCTCCCCTGCGTCCAGCCCTGGGGCTCAGGCCCTGAAACACAAAAGATGCTTCTCATCTTTCTACTGTGACATCCCTCCCCCAGGGCAGGGTGCCACCTGGTCGGCTGATGGAGGAGAGAGGGGCCAGAGAGCACAAGGAGCAACAGCAGAACAGCCGCGGCGGCTTGGAAACCCTAAGTCGTCTTTAGCTCATGTGCCATCAAATCAGTCCAACTTCAAATATAAATGGAAAAGCCAGAACAAAGAGCACGGAGAGTCCAGTCCACAGGACAGAAAAGCAGTACAGACAGCCACGCTCCGGCTTCTCCTCCCGGCCTCCGGCAGCTGAGGAGGGGAGACGCCACTGCCCACGTTCGGGAGACGTGCAGCCGCGTCAGGGAAGCAAAGAGGCTTTCTTTTGCTTTGAATTGAAAAGAGCCGTCACTTGGGACCCTGTGCTGGTCAATTTAACTCTGCGGCTCATCCAGAAAAGGGCTCCGGCGGGCAAAGGAGAAGCTTGAACTCGCAGCAGGGCTGTTTGGCTGGCGTTGCTTAGTTTGCTGCTTAGCGTGTTTAAGGATGGATCGCTAGGAATTGATGGGAAATGCACACACAAGGGAGCAAAAAAATGAAGAGTGTCCCAGGGTGGCGCCCGGTGAACTAGTGCCGGTCATCTGTGGGGACGCACGCTCCAAACCCCCGTCCACGCGGCCACTGCAAACAGCACCAAACCCCTCTTCCCTGAGGTGTTTCCCACGCACCAGAGCCCACCCGCCCTGTCTCTGCCTCTGCTTCCACAAGTTGGGGCCATTGTCCACCAAATGAAAGGCGCCTGGAAGAATCCGGACAGCCAGGGAGCAAGCAGGTGGCCTAGACGGCCCCGTCCCCTGGATGCAGGACGAGGTGGCACTGTGTAAAGTTCGTCAGATTTTATGTTTGGATTTTTCCATTGGGCAGCACCAGAAGATGGACACCCTGGGACAGAGAGCATGCAGGCCGCTCCGGCCGCAGCCTGTGGCTTCCTGACAGCAGCACAGGCGGCTCGGTCGCCGGCCGGATGCATCCCGGTGCGTCTGTGTGGGCTGCGGCTGTGGGTGGCATTCCTTACGTTCTCTGTGACCCCACCCCTAGTGAACTCCAGCCAGAGCCTGAGTGCACGCATTTCCAAGCCGGTGAGGCCTGGCCCGCGCACCAGCCTGCCGGAGAAGCGGAGATGGTGGACGCCAGGGTCCTCTCCAGTCCTTCATGGGAGATGGGACTGGGAGGTGGCAGAATGGCCTCTTCTCTGCGGAGCCACCTGTGGCTGGTGGAGGGCGATCACCCCCAGTCCCTGCTCAGGAGGAGCTGAGAGGCATGGCTCCGGCTCCGGAGGGGCCGGCTGCTGCCTCTTGCTGCCCTCACCCCAGGCAGGGACCTGCGCAGGCCAGGCCCACAGTGTCCTGAATCTACACACCGTGCCACCGGCTGAGAGGGGACCCGGCACTGTGCAGGAGAGTGGGACTCGCTGGCTGTGCCCCTGCTGCCCATTCTAGAAGCATCCTGGGCAGTTTTCTGTTGAGAACAGACAGACCACGGGCTGGCAAGTTGTCAAGAAGTCGTTGCTCATTTTGGCTTAAGGTTCAGCCCAGGGCTGGGCGCCAGGCTGGTTTGGGCCTTGTGGCTGACCTCACAGGGCAGCCGATGGCACAAGACCCGCTCCGCACACTGCCAGCCACCCCACGAGGGTCTCTGGGCACCCCATGTTCCCTGGGCAGCCAGAGATGGCACCTCCGCAGGTAGAGCCAGGGCTCTCCAGCACTTCTGCTCACTAACACGAAACCTCCTGCCTCTTCATGGCCTTTTTTTCTGGACAGCACAGGGATTTGAACTTGGGGCCTTGTGCTTGCTAGCTTACTCAAGCCATACCCCCAGCCCTCTTTTTGCATTGGTTGCTTTTTTTTTTTTAATTTAATTTAATTTTATTTGTGAACATACTGTACAGAGGAGTTACAGTTACATGGGCAGGATAATGCATACATTTCTTACCAAGCATTGC